AAGTTCCATGTTGAGGTACACCAGACGAAAAAGATGCTGAGCATCGGTTGTACATGTACAAGATCTCTTCTGTGTCAACACTTGCAGTGAGTTGATCAAATCTGTCAGTATGGCAAGACCATGGACGATATGGAAGTACATGTCGGAACACGGGCACAAATTGATCTTGTAGCATCAAATCGACGTCGCCATCATAGAACTGTGCTGTCATGGTATCCTTGGGCGTAGTCCAATGGAAATGTAACTCTGGCGTAGATCTTGCTTGACGAAAATCACTGGGCCATGGTGAGGCGACCAGGTGTTTGTGGGAGCTCAACCTGTCTTCCACTTCACCATTGTTAATGACCCTGAAAGGACTGTTGTTGTATCGCAGGTGTGGGCAACGACGAAATGCATCATGTTGACGAAGATCAAACACCAAAGCGACACATTTGTTATGAGTCTCTGACTTGGCTGAAAACGTGTGGTCGTTATCGGGTACAGCCCCACTTGATGTAGTCGGATGTTGTGGACAAAGATGGTCTGAGTATCTGACCACGTTGGAAAAGCAGGTGTTGTCAAAATCGGATCGACCATGAAGCTGCTGATAGGACCCCGTTCTGATTTGAGCATGGAGCTGGTCCTGAGGCTCCCTTGGAGCAGAAAGAAAGTAATCAGTTCCTGGAATAGGACAGTGAGTTGCAGATGTCTTCACGATCTGATGAATCACGTTGGAATCGGATGCAGCCTCACGAGCAATAGTATCAAATTGTGTAGCTGGTAGAAGTCGTACAACTTCTCTGAGTGGTTGGTGACGATCAGAGTGTAGCAACCAAGTATAGTCTTTTGACGACGAAAACGAAGTCCGGTGTTGAGGAACACCAAGGAAATCTCGTGTAAGCCTCGAAGCCAACTGAGGAGGAATTGAGTCATCTCGTGCAGCGTTCAAATTGTCTGCACAACTCAGTTGGGAATTGGGGCACATATGGCCATCCAACTGCTCATCCTGGATATTGACATGTGGAAAACTCGTTGAGAAAGGACATGAACCAGGACGTGGAAGGCTATCCACTTCAAGTTGATCGGATCTGAAGTGGACATGTTGCGACTCTGAGGCATGTGAACTGTTGGAATCAAAAACACGGTAAGCCGGTTCAACATTGTGCATGGGCTTTCGTGTCTTTATCTTCATGGGGCCTTTGGTAACATGGGACTGCTCAAGTACACAACCGGCCTGCATGCAAGGAAAGCCACAATGAGGTTTGGTCGAATGCGAAGCCCTTGACGTCTTCTTTGTTTTATGCAAACCTCTAGCCAAGGCCTGATGTTTCTGGAAATACATCTGAAGTAGCTTACCGAGAGATTCTTGGCGACAGGACCGGTCAGGTGTATCATGAGTCGACTTAAATGGCTCTTGCCTGCCGTACGGTTGACATGACCGGGTTTGTTTGCCAAACCGAGGGTTCCAGTCATGACGAATCAGGTTTCTGTCGCAGAATTGTCGAAGGTCAAGGAGATCCAGAAAGTCAATCTGTTTTGTGTGAGTATTCGTCGAAGTCTGCATCCAATACTGCTTGACAAAATCCCCTTGTTCAGTTGATTCACCCACATAGTGAAGGGTGTCGGTGTTGGTCCAGTTGCCAAAAGGTGGTGATGGAACCGGGACCGGTAGTGAGTCTCTTTGATGGGGATATGACCTCGAAATGCGAGTTCTGACGCTCCTCGAGAGCAAGTGGTAAAAACCACTTATACATGCATAACATGTGGAAGACACACGTGAATTTGAGTGCAAAAGGGGTTCATCATTGCCAATGGCATATGGTCGGATAGGCCGGGTATGGTCGTCCTTGCCAGTAGATGTGCTAGATGTAGTTGGAGGATATCCCGACCATTCAGGTGCATGACAGCCTGAGTATGACGACTTGTCGAAATTAGATCCCTGCTGCCTGTTGCCAAAGCGATAGGCCCATGGTTCGTCCTGGTCTTGACTCATGAGCGTGCGTTCAAGAGCCATATTGACTTCGATTACATGGTTGTAGGCCCACGGTTCAGGGTAACCATCCGGCTGAAAGTTGCCTGTAGCAGGTAACGTGGGCAGGGAATTCCACACCTGGTGGTGATCTAAATTGCTTTGCTGATGTGCACTAACTCCCTGTTCGTTGGGCAAGGTAGCGGTCCCAAACTTACCTTCCATCCAGGGTTCAGTGAGATCATCGGCCTGAGACATCATTCCCAAGCCCGCATACTGCTCCGACGATGCCCATTGCTGTGCCCAAGGTTCGAAGAATTCTTGCAATGGCCTGTAATCAGGGTCGTACGCGGTCCTGACAATTGAGGATTCATCTCGACTCAGAAATGGGTCCTCCATCACCGGTGCAGCCGGAGACTGACATCCGAAGCGAAGTTTGCCACTCTCTTTCCAGGCGAAAATCACACTGCAGTGGGCAGTGTGGAATAGCGACAGGAATCTTCGTGGGACCTTAATCTTCAGTCGAATGCCTGCATTATCGGAAGCCTCCAGAAGCGAAAAGTCTTTCGTTCTCTGCAGGACTTGCACAGGTGTGATTTGAAAGCGTGTAGCCTTCTTCCAGCTCGTCTTCCAGGCAAAAGCTGCAGAAATAGGGATTGCATCATATGCCATGGCTCAATCGGTACCCCTGCAAAATGCAGGGGCGACGGGCGCGCCACTTGTAGGCTTGAGCCTAACGCCTCTGGCCTTACTACTAGGAGCAAAGGACGCTACTAGGGGCTCCTGGCCGTACTACCAGGAGCAAGGACGGTACTAGGGGCTCCTGGCCTTAGTACTAGGAGGAAAGAACGCTACTAGGGGCTCCTGGCCGTGACGCTACTAGGGGCTCCTGGCCGTACTACTAGGAGCAAGGACGCTACTAGGGGCTCCTGGCCTTACTACTAGGAGCAAAGGACGCTACTAGGGGCTCCTGGCCGTACTACTAGGAGCAAGGACGGTACTAGACGCTCCTGACCTTACTACCAGGAGCAAGGACGCTACTAGGGGCTCCTGGCCTTACTACTAGGAGCAAAGGACGCTACTAGGGGCTCCTGGATATATTACTAGGAGCAAGGACGGTACTAGGGGTTTTGGCCTTACTACTAGGAGCAACGGACGCTACTAAAGGCTCCTGGCCTTACTACTAGGAGCAAAGGACGCTACTAGGGGCTCCTGACCGTACTAGGCTCCTTGCCGTACTACTAGGAGCAAAGGACGCTACTAGGGGCTCCACTAGGAGCAAGGGACGCTACTAGGGGCTCCTGGCCGTACTACTAGGAGCAAGGACGGTACTAGGGGCTCCTGGCCTTACTACTAGGAGCAAAGGACGCTACTAGGGGCTCCTGGCCGTACTACTAGGAGCAAGGACGGTACTAGGGGCTCCTGGCCTTACTACTAGGAGCAAGGGACGCTACTAGGGGCTCCTGGCCTTACTACTAGGAGCAAAGGACGGTACTAGGGGCTCCTGGCCATACTACTAGGAGCAAGGACGGTACTAGGGGCTCCTGGCCTTACTACTGGGAGCAAAGGACGCTACTAGGGGCTCCTGGCCGTACTACTAGGAGCAAGGACGGTACTAGGTGCTCCTGGCCTTACTACTAGGAGCAAAGGACGCTACTAGGGGCTCCTGGCCGTACTACTAGGAGCAAGGACGCTACTAGGGGTTCCTGGCCGTACTACTAGGAGCAACGACGGCTCCTGGCCTTACTACTCGGAGCAAAGGACGCTTCTAGGGGCTCCTGGCCGTACTACTAGGAGCAAGGACGCTACTAGGGGCTCCTGGCCGTGCTAGTAGGAGCAAGGACGCTACTAGGGGCTCCTGGCCTTACTACTAGGAGCAAAGGACGCTACTAGGGGCTCCTGGCCGTACTACTAACAGCAAGGACGGTACTACGAGCTCCTGGCCTCACTACTAGGAGCAAAGGACGCTACTAGGGGCTCCTGGCCGTACTACTAGGAGCAAGGACGGTACTAGGGGCTCCTGGCCTTACTACTAGGAGCAAAGGACGCTACTAGGGGCTCCTGGCCGTACTACTAGGAGCAAGGACGGTACTAGGGGCTCCTGGCCTTACTACTAGGAGCAAAGACGCTACTAGGGGCTCCTGGCCGTACTACTAGGAGCAAGGACGGTACTAAGGGGCTCCTGGCCTTACTACCAGGAGCAAGGACGGTACTAGGGGCTCCTGGCCTTACTACTAGGAGCA